AGAAATCAGGAAGGGGGCCAACACTTTTTCACACCACTGTAGGTTTATTTTGGTTCCATCTTTGTCAGGCTTTTTTAAAAATTATTATTATTTTAAAATTTCACATTTATATAGTCCACATATATCTAGTCTTTTTTTGGCACTGCGAGTCCACATTTAAAATATATATCAAAATATTTTGGTTATTTATTCATCCCCCTCCCCAAGATTTGCAAGTTGATATTTGGTAAAGGAATGTTTGACCTTTTAATCTGTAATAAATTATTGGTAGTGATTTGGAGAAAAGCACTAAAGCTTTGAGGGTATCGAAAATACCTTTCTCTTTAAACCTCACCGGCTCAGTAATCGGGTTAGTTACCAGATATGATGTCTTTTTACATAACTACTGTAAAGCTGTAAAATATCAGACTATTGGCTGTAACTAATGCGAAGGGTTGTTATGTGGTACCACTTTCTGGCTGCTGCTTATTGGAATAATAATTCAGACTAAAAATATATATTTTTCTGCATTCCCTCCTCTTTTCTAGCTCGCTTCCAAATCTAGTTGTCTAATAAACCTGGAATTGCATATTACAAATATCGTTGGCTCTTTGACAAATTGCTTTTGTTCCTCTTTTGTAAGTCGCTTTGGATAAAATGCTTAAATGTAAATGTGTGGCTTAGATACTGTATAGGGCAACAAATTATTTTTATAATAAAAATATTTAATATTCTAAAACTTCACTGCAAGACATGCACAACAAAATATAGAAAAATGTTCTTTATTAATTTCAGCCATATAGAATGCAGACAGAAATACAAGAAGAATAGAAAAATACAAAATTTATACAAGTATTTAAATGGCCTATATTTACACAGATTAAAGGTTTAAAACCATCTACTTTGTCAATTTTCTTAGTCCATTTCACTGTTACGGCAGTGCCAAAGAATCTGTCCCAGTGACTAAAGAAAGGTGCAAAGTTGCTGCTGGGTTTCTGGTGATGTATGTCATGGGCCATTGCTCCTCCAAGAAGCCCAAAAGGAACCAGGTGGCTGGGCGAATAAGGCAGGTCATAGCCAATATGTTCTTCCACAGACATCCAAATGCTGAAAACAGTGAGGGTCAGAGGATGGCACTTGAGCAGGATGGGATCGATGTTACTCCAGAAGCCCACTGTCGTCAGCTCCACAGCGCTGAGGTGCTGGGTGGACCAGGAGAACGGCGAGATGTAATCGTGATGTATGGCGTAGACCCATCTGTACAGGTGAGGATTTTTATGGTGCACCAAATGCCAGAAGAAGTACTGGGCGTCAAAGATGAGCAAAACACCCAACCCGTCGGAGATCAGTTCCCATACTGTTGGAGCAACCGCAGGAATTGGAGGCGTAGGCATCACTACATTGGTGATCAACACAGCCGGAAGCACAAACACTAGATGATTGTACAGATCATCCGTTCCCAGAGTCCTTAGCATCGGCATGATGGTGGGACGGCGTTCTTTTTGAATCTTGTACTTGAAGAGCGAAGATATCTCTCCCAAGACATCCAGGATGGTGAAGGGGACCCTGAAGATGACGTAGCTGGAGAAGGCGAGCAGCACTGGGAAGAATGGAGACGAGACCAGGGTGAAGTGCTGGAACAACAGGTAGTCCCACAGGGGCTGGAGGAGACGGTCTGAAGCTGTGGAGGTCGGGAGCTGAAGAGCAACTTCAGTGATGTTCCACATCCTGCTGCTAGATTGAGCAAAGGCAAGTGAATGCTAATGGGAATAACCCAGCCCTATTTATACTGCTGAGCCATACTTGGACCTCCGATCAAGCCATTATAGGGCACTTTCTCTTCGGTTTTCTCAGCAAATACCCCACAACCAAACCCTTCCAAGACATGAAACGAGAATGCTAGAAAACAAATGTTATGCTGGATTACTTCCTTCAAATCTTGGTGCAAAAGAAAATCTTTCCCCAAACCCCTAGTCTCGCACTCTCTTTAGTGTCTGGGTT